ATCGATGTTGCCTTCTACAAAAATTATTTTTACAAACAAAATAAAACCAATCTGGGATGGACGCCCCACTCCCTTGCTAAGCCAAGTAACCATTACAGTGTTTCTTCCAGACTTCTTTCTCCAGGGGGGGGGGGGGGAACTAAAATTTTTCCGGGGGGGGGGGGGAGACACTGTTCAAAGTATATTTTTTCTCTATAGATTTCATTTCGCTCGGGGAGCGGTACACTTTCTTCGAGATGCCAGGAAGAAACTCTGGACCATTACACTATCCATTCAAATCATCATCATCTTTTACCTTTCCTGCCAAAGACACATGGGGCAGATGACATAGAGTTCATCTGTTTCAGAGACCTTGGCATATGAAGGGATAGTGTGATCAGCACTATGCTCAGCTGCCTTTAGTTACCTTAATAAGAGTCAGGTACCCATCAGAGCTGGGTTGACTCAGGGACGTTTTAATGACTTGAACCAGTTTTCGAACTCGAGACTTACGGGTTAGCAGTCTAGCTCGAATCATCAATAAAATAAATTTATATTTTTTAAAAACATCCCACAGTATTATCATATTAGGGGAGGATGGAAAATCGCATTTGAAAAAAAATATCTCTTTTAGGAAGATTATGATTCTATTTATAGCACAAAGACCGACATTGAAATACAAAGCAAGCAATAAAACACCCGTATGTAAATATTTCATTGGATTGTATTGATCACGTGTAGCTCCCATTGAGTCCGACTGTTGCATCTAGGACTGGCTAATCAATACGTGCAGACGGTTGCTCTCATTAGCAAATTAAGAACATAATTAAGTACGGTGGTTAATGCGAATGCAGTGCGGGTACACATGTTTATTAGTAAACGAGATAAAAACGAAGCTAAACATATTTTAAGACAAAATTTCCTTCCATCGCCATTTTATTTTGTTTTATAGCGGAACTGACAAGCTCTTGCGTGACTAACTAGGAGGACGAATAATTTATTACTCAGGGGATCAGGGGAGATCAACGCGGGAACACTAGGGCTGTGAAATGTTTTATTGATTACGTTTCTTTGATTGCTGGGAGGCTTTAATGACAATCGCGAAAGGAAGGACACTGGCTCCCGCTTGCATATGACATCCGGGCACGACGGATAGAAAAATAAGCGCCTTGCAGGGGAGATAACAGAGGCCCTTTAAATTGTGTGATCAGGGGTATTATTTGAACAAATCGATATCGATTTTTTTATGCCGGTTATGGCAGGTTATACTGATTGGGGTCAGGGCAGGATTGAGGTTAGAGTTAGGGATAGGATTAGGAGAAGGATTGAGGTTAGGATTAGGGATAGGATTAGGAGAAGGATTAGTGTGATTCAAGAATAGGGTTGGGGTAAAGTTTGTTGTATAGCATAGCCAAACTATTCCTTAATTTGACGAGGTCACAGAAATAGGTGAACTATGTACGTGTATTTTTAAGGGTAACGATGTTAGTTCACTAGAATACTGCGTCCACGTTTGATAGTAAGTAAATAAAGATGAAGTAGAGTTCGTATGTTTCATGAAGGGATTGTATGGTCAGCATCATGCCTAGCCAGCTGTAATTTCCATAACGTGAGTTAGGTACCCATTAGAGCTGGGTAAACTCAGGGACGTTCTAGTCTCTAGTCTGTACCGAGATCCGAACTCGAGACCTTCGGGCTTGCAATCAATCGCTCTATCATTCTCCCGTTTTTATAGTAGTATCTGAAAACCTGGCGTGGAAGAATTTTTTTTATATTAGTCGTTAAAGAATCTTGAATCTTTATAATTATATAGCTATAAGAACGAGGTTTACCCTACAATTTATGCCCTATATAACGCCCACTACTTTAGGCGATTACGCCCAGACCTGTGAATAAACATGTCTGTTTGGTTTGTTAAACAGCTAAATGATTTACACTTCTTTACGACTCAATCTTATGCTGCTTTTATATATAAAGGCACAATTTTGTTACGTCTTGAAGGTAGGGGTATTCACCTGTCTGATTAACACTAACCTATGCAATGTCTTATCGTAACCACTTGTATGTGTGGGAGTTTGTGTATCTTCGTGTGTGTGTGTGTGAGGGGGTTGTGGTTATTGCCGAGTTCTTATGAACCTCTAATATATCTTTTCATTTAAGGAGAATATTTGCATACATACTGATATGTTTTATCTATTTATTTCTATATTTAAAAAAAAATACAATTTCTTATTTTAATTAATAAATAATAAATAGTCTTTTCATTATTTTTAAAAATTAAATTAGCAATAGTTTGTTATTTTATCATTCAACGCCATTGTTTGTATTTTAATTGTAACCAGTGCATAGAAATTAAAACATGAATCAACTACTTGATGCGCGAGAACTCTCCACAGTCATTTTATCGATTATTTCCCTTTGACCGCAATGTCTCACCCGATCCGGATGACTCAGAGAGCATCGCAATGGCGTGTTGGCAGGTGATTCATTCCAGTCTTTCATTCAGTTTTTTTTTCTCTCATCCGATCCTTATCTCTACCACTCACTCTGTTTCTCATCGTGTCATTAAATTTTTTTTTTTTTGGAATTATCTCTTCTGTCATCTAGTAGCTTGTTATCACCGTGTGTCTGAAACCAGTAGTCTCCCTTATTGCGAAAGTATGTAGGACAATTCGTAGTTAAGTGTAAATAGTTTACAGACCTGTTGTGTATGCGCTGTTCAGCGGTTAAATGGTGAGATGGTTTTGTTCATGTCTACTCCAGCTACCCTTCTCCGTACGTAGACTCATATCAATGTTAGACATCTTCATTTTTCCTCCTCATAACTCCAATGTCAAGATATATATATATATATATATATATATATATATATATATATATATATATATATATATATATATATATATATATATATATATATATATATATATATATATATTATATATATATATATATATATATATATATATATATATATATATATATATATATATATATATATATATATATATATATATATATATATATATATATATAGATGTATATAATATCATATTATATATGCGTGTGTGTGTGTGTGTGTGTGTGTTAGTGTGTAAAAAATCACTCCTTTATAATTCACCAATGTGTTTTGTATGTAGTTTGTAATGTATCGATCATATTGTTCGTGGTTATATAAGATGATTGTAAATGATAGCTGTCGACGATCGATATTTTGAGACGATTATCGATGCATAGCGAAGTTTTTTGTAGGCTAGATTTACGAGTAGATGTGTGTGTGTGTGTGTGTGTATGGATCTGTCTGTCGTGTGTGTGTGATGTGTGTATGTGTGTGTATGGATGTGTGTGTCGTGTGTGTGTATATTTGTGTGTGTCGTGTGTGTGTAGATGTATGTGTCGTGTGTGTGTGCCGTGTGTGTGTGTGTGTGGATAGTCGGATCTGTAAAGAGACTCCAAGCTCTCTGTGTGGGTAATAACTTTGAACTAACTATACCGTATAACTCTGCTCGACCACTCCCACTACTCTGAGACCGGCCCATTAGGTTGTCTGGTCAAGTAAAAACCACATCACCATCTTGCCCTCGCCCACACTACCCCCCCCCCCCCCCCACTAATTATTGCCCCATCCCCCACTAATTATTGCCCCATCCCCCACCCACCCACCCAGCCATTATTTAATTAACCTCGTCAGACACTGAACGCGCCAGGCTTGTGCTGGGTCATGCTGACCTGGTGCCGGGTATTTGTGCTTATCCTCCCCTGTACCTTGAAATAGAATAATGGACTCAGCCCGTCTAGACCCTCTGATTAATGAACTTCCGACCGCCCCCTCCCCCCCTCTCTCCGTTCCCGTCTCGCTGGTCCTGACGAAACACACTTTTATCGATTCAGTTATTGGCTCAAAACCAATAGATCAAACTCAGCATAAGAGATGTTTCAGGTTCTCTTCACACAAAATTTTTGTTGTTGTATAGGCACAATATGTACTGGCTCCAATACTGAATTAATTCTGTGATACGATTCATGCTTGGTCAATGTTCCCAAATATGGTTCGCGATTTTGGCATCGCTCTTTTTTCTTACCCCCAACTGTTAAATTCTTTATTTGGTCCAGCTGTTAAACTGTTATACTTTTGATTGTCTGATCCTAATTAGATATTTGTTAAATGTACCGAAGAATATAGTATGAATCTTAACCTTTAAGAATTAATTACATTTTATAAAAAATCTCATATATATATATATATATATATATATATATATATATATATATATATATATATATATATATATATATATATATATATATATATATATATATATATATATATATATATATATATATAGGCCTATATATCTATCTATCTATATATATATATATATATATATATATATATATATATATATATATATATATAGGCCTATATATAACTATTTATTTAAATATATATTTATTTAAATATATTATTTGTTTTCGAATTTGTACATTTTTTGAAAAAGACAAAAACAAATCACTGTCCAAATGATCAAAAAAGAAACATAACCATCGTATATCTAATCTAACTAACATGAAAAACGGCCATTATGATTTAGTTTAATATCCAGGGTCTTTTCCTCATCAAAGCAAATCGTCGTGTTCAGATTTTAGATAACAATACAAAGGGAAATAACAGAGTCAATGTGTGTGGTGATGTGTTAGATAGGGGAGGCAACTGATGTAGAGCGACAGAGGGGAAGCAACTATGGTGTAATGTGTAGGCCTAATCGATATAAACAAACGACAGTCGTTTGTCGAAATTGTGTGATTTTTTTTTCATTGCGTGAAGATCAAGGATATTTGTTGTGTGTTTCCCTTTAATTAAAGTTCTAACAAAAAATTAAAACTTATAATGGATCTAATATGTTGTTAAAATTGCGTTCAAATGAATGGTTCGTTTTGTTTATTAGTATACAGACTACAACTTTAAAAAAATAACAAACATTAGTTGAAGTATATTTAAAGAATTTGTGAATTTTCTACAGGGTAGAAACTAGACCATCAGTGACCAAGGACGCATTAAGCCTGGATAACGTAGTGACGTCACCCGCCGCCCAACTCAAAGGTCAAGGTCACGCCAAGAAAATAGGACCAGACGACGTGCCCTCGACCAGCCTGGATTCGAACCTGCACGACTTGAGCGACAACGATGAGGAGGACAGCGAGACCGAGAGTGCCATCGCCTCTCACTCAGTCATGACATTGTTAACACCGGAAGAAAATCAAGGTAAGGGAAATGTTAACACTTGGGGAATATCAAGGTAAGGAAATGTTAACATATAAGGAAAATCAAGGTAAGGAAATGTTAACATATAAGGAAAATCAAGGTAAGGAAATGTTAACACCGGAGGAAAATCAAGGTGAGAAAATGTTAACTCCGGAGGAAAATCAAGGTGAGAAAATGTTAACTCCGGAGGAAAATCAAGGTGAGAAAATGTTAACTCCGGAGGAAAATCAAGGTGAGAAAATGTTAACACTTGGGTAAAATCAAGGTAAGAAAATGTTAACACCGGAGGAAAATCAAGGTGAGGAAATGTTAACATTTAAGGAAAATCAAGGTAGGGAAATGTTAACATCGGAAGAAAATGAAGGTAAATGAATGTTAACACCGGAGGAAAATCAAGGTAAGGAAATGTTAACATCTTGGTAAAATCAAGGTGAGGAAATGTTAACATCGGAGGAAAATCAAGGTAGGGAAATGTTAACACCAGTTATAAAATCAAGGTAAGAAAATGTTAACACCTGGGTAAAGTCAAGGTAAGGAAATGTTAACACCTTATTAAAATTAAGTTAAGTTAATGTTAACACCTTTTATAAAATCAAGCGGAAAGGCAACCAATGTTAAATCATTTATAAATTCTTAAACCAATTTTGAAAATAGTCAAACGTAATTTTGTAATTAACAAAACAATTAAGTACTCTATAAAACTATTTGAATATACATGTACATAGCTGGTATGACGATAATAAAGACATTGTATTCCACCCCACGTGGCTCAGGTGGTGGAGATGATAGCTCAACCATAGCGGCCGCAGACGTTGATTCAGACGACGACTTGACCTCCTCACTGCTGCTAGACAGCATCGGTTCTAACCTTGACACGGATGACCTCTCACCTGGCCTGATCCAAATTAGGAACCCCGTACCCTGTCTCAAACCAGTTCTAGACTGCCAGGTAAAGTTGTGTCTTGTTCTAGAACTTTCCATCATATTACAGCTCCATCTCTACACAGTGATTATTTACCTATTTACAGTTGCGTTTCGGAATTAAATAAAACTGTTGTTTAGTTTCGGGAATTAGTTCATCTTTTCTAGGGAAAATCTGCAATAGGCGTTAATGACTTATTTTGATAAAACTCTTTTCATAAACTTACTTTGCGTAAAAACAATTTTGAGAAGCACTTAAAGAGAATTTTAGTTTCCATACATTTAAGAGTAGAAGTTTCATAAAAGCCAATGTTTGGTGTGCATTTTTATTCAACTCATTCTGAAACAACAACAAAAGGTTTTAGGCATAACCAACAAGTCTTTCAATCAGACTTAGTTGTTCTTGGAACGGCGTAGTCGAATGGTAGAACATACGACTGCTAACACGAAAGTCTCGATTTCGAATCAGGCAGGTTCAAGTCCGTAGAACGTCACTGAGTCCACCCAGCTCTTATGGGTACCTTGACTCAGCATAACGCTGACAACATTATCTCTTCATATGTTGCGGTTACAGAAACATTTGAACTTACTTCACTTGTCCCATGGACCGTCAGGTTCGAAAGGGAACTTTGCTAGTTTGTCTTTCAATGAACCCCTTATGTTGTCATTCATGAGGCGTAGGCTTTCTATGGTTACGGAGGAAAATGTTGTTTCTTTTTAAATATATATCTACACCGTATATATGTTATATATGTCTGAGTTAGGAGATCGACCCTTCTGACGCCGTATAAATGTGAAATCAGCGCAAGCCCAATTCAAGGATATTCAAGTTTATTTACTATAAACACAAGCACCAATATACGACACTAAACTCGACTGTCATTTACTATCCTAAACACTTCTGATGTCCAAATGTCCACTATAACTTTCTACTACCTAACGATTTACTCAACTGTAACCTCCTAACTCTCCTAATCCTAATCTCTACACACCACTAGCTCCTAACTCTCCAAATCCTAATCTCTACACCACTAGCTCCTAACTCTACAAATCCTAATCTCTACACCACTAGCTCCTAACTCTCCAAATCCTAATCTCTACACCACTAACTCCTAGCACTCGACTTCCTGCTAAATGCTCGACCAATCAACGACAGCTAACTCCTAACGCTTGGTCAGCTGACCGTCACACGTGACCGGTCAGTCGTTCCACAGCTGGTTCTGCTTGACCAGTCTCTAGCTGACCTACCTCTCGTCTGCTTCTGACCTATTTATAATTCTTGCCTAACTTTAATTATTACTTATTATCTCGGGGACCCAAGATTGGCTTATAGAAATCTTACAACGAACATAAACAAATTATTTCATTCATATCTATTGCAACGTTTAAAAAAAAGCCTGCATCATATATAAAAAAAATTAAAAATATTTTAATAATGTATTTCCGACAACGCCACCAGTCTCCTCACAATAACAAAAATCTTAACATTGATCTCAACATTAAAACTATGAAAACATTCTATGAAAAGGAGACAATGTATGCACCTTTCAATTGTAAGAAAACAGTCTACAGACCCCTCATTGTATCTATATCTTTTTCTCTTTTCTTTTCTCTTTCTCCTCTCTTTCTCCTCTCTCTCTCCCTCCCTCTCTCTCTCAATCTCCTCTCCCCCTCTCTCTTACACAAGCAAATGCTCTTAAGCGAACCAACAGAATAAAGAATCAAGCCATTCTCTGATCTACTTTTTCAGCTGCCCCGTGTTTCCGTCAAGCGACTTCTACTTCCTATACCGGTACATCGTAGCACCTGGTTTTGATATGATGGGGTAGGGGGGGGGGGTGTAGTTCGATCGGAGAATGACCTACGATCACGGGACCAGGTACCGAACTGTTGACACACAGGGCTGCACCTCGCTATTGGTGCTACAAGAAGTCTGAGACTAAATCTTCATGTAATACATTCGTGAGCGGAAAAGAATTTCCCGAACTACTCGATATAAGTCGAATTATCACCAGGCATAGTACCCGGTCTACTCGTTATACGTCGAGTTGTTAGCGGATAGGTATAACCTCGTCTACTCGTTACACGTTGAGGTGTTAGCATAATACACCGTTTACTCATTATACGTCGGTCGAATCGTAAGTTTAATACCTTGTCTACTCATTATACGTTAAATAGTTAGCATGACAGGTATAACATTGTCTACTCGTTCTACGTCCAATCGTTAGCAAACCGTAATAATATGGTCTACTCGCTATACGTCGGAATTTTTATATAACTTGGTCTACTCGCTATACGTCGAATTGTTGATATAACTTGGTCTACTCGCTATACGTCGAATTGTTGAAATAACTTGGTCTACTCGCAATACGTCGAATAGCTAGCAGACAGTTATCTTGGTCTACTCGCTATACGTCGAATTGCTAACAGATAAGTAATAACTGTTCACTGCTCTTATGTTTACCTGCCTCTCGAAGACTTGATGCACGTGCACACAAATCCAAGGCTCAGCCTAAGAAAGAATTTGTAAAAGACGTGATCATCGATTGCATATAAAAACATTCAGTGATGTCCTGTTTAATGTGGTAGTTTGTCCATGGAGGTTGGGTGTGTTTGGTACAGTTTGTCATGATGGTTGGGTGTGTTTAGTACAGTCTAATCAAAGTTGGAAGTTGTCTCTATATGTGGTAGTTTGTCCATGAAGATTGTGTGTGTTCTGTATAGTCTAATCATAGCTGGAAGTTGTTTAAGTGTGGTGGTTTGTCCACGGATTGTGTGGTTGGTACAGTCGTCTAATCATAGTTGGAAGTTGTTTCTATTTGTGGTAAGCTGTTCACGGATTGTGTGTTTTTTGTACAGTCTCTAAGTGTGATACAGTTTGTCTATAATTGAAATGTGTCTACAAAACCAGTTATTTTAACATTTTGATGACAAATTTTTATTTTAGATAACCCGAACTTTAAAATACTTTAAAATTTTTTTTAGCTGACACGAAGATAAGGGGGGGGGGGGGTAGTGGAAGTTGTAATTTATAAAGTTAAAAGAGTAATGAGTGGGGCATTTCTTGTAGAACACACGAACTCTCAAATTTGAAGATAATTATCTTATTCCTAATTTAAAAATCGATAGCACGGTAAAAAATTTAGGTAAAATTACCCGGAAGTCGATATTTTTTTTACTAGCAGACGACTTTTTTTTTTCTCTTGCAGGATATTCTCTCAGGTTTGGAGAGGGAGAAACAGTCTCCCAGTCGCTTCTCCGTAGACGTGGAGTGCGAGTCCGTCGTGTCGGACTACTCGGAGGTCGGCGGGCCACTACGGGACTTTGAGCGTGATGTGACGTACATGGATAAGGACTCACTTAGGGCTGAGGACAGTTCGTCGTTTTTGGCGCTGAGTTCTTCTTTCTGGGAGCCGGAAGAGTTGGAGAGGAGGGAGGGAGAATCAGAGGAGGACTTTGAGAGGAGGGTGAGGAAGGTGAATTTGTTGAGTTTAGCTCAGGAGTTTGCGGAGTTGAAGAAATTAGACGCTCAGGCGTGCGCTATTAACTTTCACAGGAATCAGAGCACTAGAAGTTTCGGACACGGGGGAAGTCCGTTAAGCTCCCGGGGTCAGTCTTTGGAGAGGACGAACCGACGAACAGCCTCCAAAAGCCCATTGCGTAGCCTGGGCCGGGGGTCGTCTAAAGACACACACCGTGCTTGCCCCATTATGATCGAGACCGACGACAACAAACCAAAACACCAAAACACCAGCAACAAAACCAGCAGAGACATGGTCGTGCCGAAATCTGAAGACCTTCCGGTCAACGAAGCCCGGCGGAGGGATTCGAACTCCGACCTTCCGGCTAACATGAGACCGGATCGTTGCGCCAACTCACCCGGCTTGGCCGGACATGCTCGGAAGTCTAACCCCGGATCACGTGACGGGTCAGCCAGCAGGTCCGCGGCTGCACGGAACCAGTCCTCGCAGGGTAGTTCGGACGTGGAGGGGGACTTTGATGTGTACAACATCGAGACGGCTCTGCCCAACGTCAACTGGGAGATCCTAGAGAAGCAGCTTCAGGCGGCCGCAGAGGAGGAGAGCAAGAGGCTGGAGGTAAGGAAACATTGTAGTGGTGGGGAAGGTCATAGGTCAGGTGTGTGGGAGTGTATTAGCTTGGTAGTGGGGACTGGAAGTAAGGAAAATTTGTAGTGGTGGGGATGGTCATAGGTCAGGTTTATAGGAGTTGTATAGCTGGGTAGTGGGGACTATCATAGAACAGTCATTTGGTCGAGAGGCTAGGACGTTTTATCATAGGTCTTTCTAAGGGTTAGCTAGTTTGGTAAAGATGCCTGTCAGTTCATGTGGCAGATGAAGAAGAGTCCACCTGTTGATATTTATTCGGCATAAGAAACAATAGTGTGATCAGATACGCTTCAGAGCTGAGTGGACTCAAGGACGTCCAACGATCTCTAGGTCTGGATCTGAACTCAATACGTTAGGGATAGTTACGTGTGCTCTACATGGGTAATAGTTAGCATATTAAGTAAATACCAGAACAGCAATATTCTATTACTTAACTGACACAATTCCGAATGTTATGTGTACAGCACTTAATCGGGTCTCATGAAGTTGGGAGTCTTTTAGCCGGTGTGGGGGGGGGGGGAGGTGTCAACAAAAGTTTTTTGTATATATATATATATTATATACACACATTATATATATATATATATATATATATATATATATATATATATATATATATATATATATATATATATATATATATATATATACATATATACTCGCGCTAAACTTGAATAAACTTTCTGCTCAAAATTGTTAATCCAATTACCTCCCTTAACTGCATAACTTCCCTTTATTTGGCCACTGGAGACCGGCTCGTCTGTTAGTTTTGTTGTGACATACGGCCCGGGGGCCGGGACACGTAAGCTAACTCTACATCCATTGTGTTCACTTAACACAACTAGCCCTGTCTCACTTCTCCAGGGCCGTTTGTTTTGAAAACCCAACCCCCCCCCTTCCTCTTTCCTCTATACTTGGAACATAACACATCAGCCACACAACGATTGGATGTATGTTTAGATATGACACTTATGTTCCAGCAATGCCGGTGCTATGTAGACAGGTCTCAGAGGACTTGATTGAAAATATTTTATGACATTTGTTTTTGGTCGTGACAATAGCGCTTTGTGTGTCTGTTTAGCACAAATTTTAACGTATCTCAAATTATACTTCAGAGGAACATACTTTACTGCTAAGTTTTTGGTATGTTATGTAAAGCACATGAAAGAACTATAGCTTTATACTTAATACAGTAGTTTCCCGCTCCTTTCTCGGTTTTTATATCAGTCTGGATGCCAACGAGTACAGTGTTAGATCCACCCAAGTAGGTTACCATTTTATGTAACCCCTGAGACTGACTAGCCCGACCCCTGGGGTTCGATCGAACCCAGGTTAAGAACCACTTGTCTAGACAGAATCTAGACAGTCGGGTAGTCTAGACAAATAAATAAAAGTCTAAATATAGGTTAGTCTTTAGACATTATGCTACAGTCGATAGTCTTAAGATAAGCTAGATTTGAACCATAAATTAAGAATGTGGTCTATAAATAGTTTAAACATCTTCTAGATATCTGATGCAGCTAACTTTTTGGCGTCCTGCCAATATTACATTTTCTTATTTATCTTCACTATTATGTCAAGTCATTACAACCACTTCTTCTCGTATACAAGGCATAAATTAGGTATTAGATTTTAATTAAAGAAGAATATTATGTCTAATAAGTTTTTAAAGACAAATATTCGTCATCATAACTTTGAGTAACATGACATTGAAGAGGTATGGAGTAGATCCACGCCATACAATAGATATTATAAAGTTTGAGAGGTTTTGTTCATAAAAATAAAAATATGGATCGAAGTGAACTAATGTGAACGAACTAATAAATAAGGGGTGTTGTCTTAGGGGAAGTTTATAAGGAAATGTGTGTGTGTGGGTGGAGGGGGGGGGGGGTTGAATGTGCGGACTTAGGTGACAAAGCGCTGTGAGTTGGGGGGGGGGGGGGGGTTAGTGTGGTGGGTTGAAACGCTATTTTTTGTAGGGTAGCTATGGTGATGATATGTAATGATAATCGGCGATGTAAGTACAAAAATTCTTCAGGAAGTGTGTAAAAGACGAGCTTCCGGTACAGTCACGTGTGTTGGAGGCAGCTCTAAGATGGCGTAGGTGCTTGTGTTGATATGATATATTTAGACGCTGTGTGGCCCGGGGGTGGGAGGTGTTTGGATGTTCCACGGGAATCTTCGCCCGTGAGCCCGGGGCAGCGTGACCCAGTCAGACAAAACGGAATGTTACAGTTTTTATAAACCTGTTGGCTGTGTGGCTTTAGAGCTGTTGCTGTAAGGCCATAGTTTTAAGGCTGTTGCCCTGATGCCATAGTTTTAAGGCTGTTGCTGTAAGGCCATAGTTTTAAGGCAGTTGCTTTGAGGCCATAGTTTAAGCTGTTATCTAGAGTGTGTTATTTAAATGATGATGCTGTCCAAGACAATTGATAGAGCCTAAGACTAAATAAAACCCTGTTTTACACGTTGATATTTGTTAAATAACCTGATCAATTTATTTGTATATTGATTACCTTTGATTTTTATTTAAATTAGGACATTTATGATTTATTTAAGTTTAGAGTTAAGTTTAAAATGAGGGCTTATGTAAGAATATGCATTATCCAGAGGCGTAGCGACCCCTCCCGGCGCCCGGGGACAAACTTTCAGTTTGGCGCCCCCTCCCCACCATATATTTTTTATGTTTATAATTCAAAACTGCAGCTAACTTAGGGGTCGGCCCCGGGCACAAATGTACCCCCCCCCTTCGCTACGCATCTGGCATTGATTGAGAATAGTATTAAAGATACATATCATTATCGGCGATATCAATTGTACGACTACTTTGGTCTGGTTAATCGATTATACCGGTTCGTTTATCTATATTAACTTCAACCATCCTTGTAGTTCAACCACCCAGCACTCACCTATCGGTTAACCTGCCAACCAAACACTAAACCCAAACATTTACTCTAACCAGCAGTCACTTTATTATCAGCCACGCTTGTTATACAAACCCTAAACCAAACACTAACTTCAGCCAACCTAGCTTAGCACGCAAACACCCAACTAAACAGGAACGCTAGACACGTCAAAACAGGTTAGGAAAAAAAAACTGCCTACGCGTAGAAAACAGCTGTTGTTATTTTCCGCAACCTGGATTCCAGCCTGGAGAACAGTGTGGTAGAGACACCGGTCGACGCTCTGTTCTTACCTGGGTCCTACCTGCCTCCCGTTGTGTTTATTTACAGCTGCTTTCATGTTTACTTATCCTTTGTAGTCGCCCCCCCCCCTCATCTCTTTATTCCCACGTCGCCAACATCTTGATCTGCTTCATGACCCCACTCACACACACACGAACTGTCTCTCGATAAGTTTTCATTCTAAAGTTGTGAAATATTTTCTTTTACTTCAGTCCATCTTTACACTGCCACCATCTTTAGTCCACTTCCTGTGCCACTTACTTTGTAGCCTCCCACCATCCATCCATCCATCCATCCATCCATCCATCCATCCATCCATCCATCCATCCATCCGTCCATCCGTCCATCCGTCCATCCGTCCGTCCGTCCGTCCGTCCGTCCGTCCGTCCATCCATCCATCCATCCATCCATCCATCCATCCATCCATCCATCCATCCATCCATCCATCCATCCATCCATCCATCCATCCATCCATCCATCCATCCATCCATCCATCCATCCATCCATCCATCCTATACAACCCTCCACTCTCTCCCTTCTTTCATCTGTCCAGTCATCCGTCTGTCTGTCCACCCATCCACCCACCCGACGTATTTACCTCTTATCTGACCCCCACCCTTCCATCCCATAAACGATTACCCCCCCCCCCCCACCTTCACGCGATATTTTACTCGCCCCTTCCATCAAGCATGGGATATCTTTTTCACAAATCCTGCTGTAAATTGTAATTGCATTTATCCTTACACCACCCCCACCCCCCTCCCACAACCTACCCTTCCCCCACATACCTCATCATTAACAAAATCCCTCCCCTCCATACATAGCTTCTCACACTAAGTTCATTCAACAAAATTAAAGTAGTCAGGTTTCGCTAACTTCCCCTTAATTCTATTCACCCACAACCAACCCCCCTTTCTCCCCCCATTTATACACCCACCACCCCTCACTGAATTCACATTCCACAGCTGATAAACTTACCAAAAAAATAATTCCCCACCAACACCCCCTCAAGCATTTGACCAGATGGCGAACTCGCTAAGAATCTCGTGCACATAGAACGTCGAGCCGCTCACAAACACTGTAGCCGTATCTATAGCCACTGTCTATTTTTACGGTGACTGCTGCTATTGTTCAGTGAAGCCTTTCTCTCGCGGATCAGGTTCACTGTGGTGGTGTGCGTTTTTTTTTTCTCCCAGCCGAATACTTGAACTTGGCTAATTTATGGCGCGGTTAGACGGCTTTATGGAGAACTTGGACTAGTTGAGATACGCTGCCACGGCAATTAGCGTTGCCGCTGTGCATGGTGCTATAATTAAGGTTATTTCAATTGGCAACGTTTTCATTCTTGTGGATTATAGCCAAGGATTTCATTTAGACGGATTATATATAGTGGATTTTTGTTATTTGGATTATCTTATGAACTTCATTGTGTTGTTTACTTTTGTGTGATAAGTTAAGATTAATGTTGAGTGTAGACCTGAATGATGATCATTGTTGGTTAGTGAGTGTTAATTATTTACTTTTTTTTCAAGGGATCCAAAATTTGAAAGAATTTTAATATAAACAGAATGGTCCAGTGAGTGTTAGTAAGTTTAATTTTCCAAACCGTGAAATCAAAAAATTAGTGCTGCTTCTGAAATTAGACAGTTAGAAGCTCATCTATCTCATGTGCTTTCAATAATGAATAAACTATATCAGTTCCTTATAATCAAAATTGTCCCATATCCATTTTCGTCATGTTCTTTCGTACAAAATAATAGCTAAAATGACATTGTTTCTTATAGCAAA